ACTAGGAAACATAGGTACATCACTTAGGAACACGTACGAGAAAGTGGGAACGAATGGGGAGAACTAGCGTCCGTGGCGCTCTGAGAGGCGTGGGGCGCCAGGCCCAAAACCTCAGAGAGCTGGGTGGGGCGCTCTGGCTGGGGCGACGCGCCAAAGGCCAAACCTCAGAGAACATTTTGGGGCGCGCTGAGAGGCGCGACGCCCCAACCCCTGTACCTTTTCTCTTCCGTTTTTCTATCTCTAAACCCTCCAAACTTCCATGGGTACTTTTCCCCCAAAACCCCCTACGGATCAATTGTACCCTCAATATACAACCAATCTAACTCGCAAAACAACCCAGAAACATGAATCAATTTAACACTAGGCATTCAACAATCAACCCACAAGAGTTCAACAATGTTCTTCAAGAACTTCACTTTCTTAACATTCAAACAACTCCAATTTCGCTGAATTGAAACAAGTTAGTGTGTGGGTGAACTAACCCAACACGAAAGAAATTTCACAAACCTTAATAGGGATCACCCCCGACGAATTCCACTCTCAATCTTGAATGATCTTGTCTAATTCTTGCCTTCTTCTCCTGCTTTTTCTTTCTTTCTCTCTTTTCCAAGACCTAAGCGTATTCTTACTTTTCAAAACTGAATTAAGTTCTCTTTTTACCCCTATAAATCCCTAAAAACGAATTAGGAAATTAATTAGAGAAAAGACTACTTTGCCCTTCCCTAAATCCGGATTGAAACTTTCCTCGATCCAATTGCCCAACTTCCGGAAGGCATATCTCACTCATATGATGTCGAAATCGTGCAATATTGGCGGCGTTGGAAAGATCTCTCCAAGGGATTTCCAAAAATGTCAATATATTCTCCTAACTCCTCCTGAGCTAGGAGTTATGGCCGTTTGAAAATGGCCAAAACTCACTTTCTTAACTTAGACAAAATTTCCAGATTTCCTTATTCTTTCCAAAAATTAATATTTTCATATTTTAAACTCTTTATAGTCGTTTCTAGGTGCGAGATGTTACATGAATTTAGTAAGTTTGAAAGTTGAAGTTAGAAAATTTGGGGATTGTTAAATATGATTATAAATTAAGTATTAGAAGTTAGAACTAACAAATAATTAGAAGCTAGAAGTTAGAGATTAATTAGTTGAATTTTTCAATTTTTCTATGTATTTGTGCTTATATGTATTATATTGTTGTTGAAACTTGGGTTACTTGAATTATATTCTTGAACTTAGAAATTCTAGAAATTAGATATGAACTTGAATTTTTGTAGTATTTTTTAACTTTAATTAGGTTTTGAACTTTAGAAATCTTGAATTATTGTAGGATTTTAGAACTTTAGGTTGTGAACTTTAGAAATCTTGAATTATTGTAGGATTTTAGAACTTTAGGTTGTGAACTTTAGAAATCTTGAATTATTGTAGGATTTTAGAACTTTAGGTTGTGAACTTTAGAAATCTTGAATTATTGTAGGATTTTAGAACTTTAGGTTGTGAACTTTAGAAATCTTGAATTATTGTAGGATTTTAGAACTTTAGGTTGTGAACTTTAGAAATCTTGAATTATTGTAGGATTTTAGAACTTTAGGTTGTGAAACGTTAAACTTTAGAGAACTTGAATTTTTGTAGGATTTTAGAACTTCATAAGGTTGTGAACGTTAGGAATCTTGAATTATTATAGAATTTTAGAACTTTAAGTTGTGAACCTTAGAGGACTTGATTTTTGTAGGATTTTTGAACTTTAGGTTGTGAAACGTTAGAAATTTTGAATTATTCTAGAATTTTAGAACTTTAAATTGTGAATTTTAGAGAACTTGAATTTTTGTAGGATTTTAGAACTTTAG